TACTCAGCTCCCACTAATTTGGCTTTTACTGCAATCCTCTAGGGAGCCCTGGGACCATAATGGGCTAATCATTTGGCTCTTAACCTCAGGGTCAGTGGTTTGAATCCACCAACCATTCCTTGGGAAAAAGATAGACTTTCTGCTCGAGATTTATAGTCTCAGAAACCCGATACAGGGTGTCTGAGTGGAAACAGACCAGGGCACACAACAACAACTTTCCAAAAATAAGTTAAGTAAATGGTTTTAGTGTCACTAAATAAACTCCTCTTTTTTAAATTCACTGACAAATTTTTCATTTGCACAGTAGGTCCTCTCTCTTCCTAGATAGACTTTCTTCATTTGACATCCAGGGCACCACACTCTGGTTTTCCCCCACTCAACTAGATGTTCTTCCCAGTCTCCACCCCCACCCCCGCTATTCCCCTTCAGGTCCATTTACCACTGGAGTGCCCCAGGGCTCAGCCACTAGATCTCTTCTGTGTGCACACTGTGGGTGACCTCATCTACTCTTAGGGATTCAAGTATCATCTCTGTGCAAATGCTTCCCAAGTTCAATTTCATTCATCTGACTGGGTAGATGTCTTCTCTTCTTAAATCCCTGTTAATATTTCCAACTAACTTACTTGACTGCTCTACCTGGATGTCTAAAATGCATCTTAAATGTAACTTGTCACAAACTGGATTCCACCTCTTCTTCTTTAAACCTCCTCCTTGAACAGGCTTCCCCATTCCAATAAATGACAATGCTATTGTAGGTAGCTCATATACATCAAAACTAGAGGATATCCTTGAATTCTCTTTCTCTCATACTTCATGTCCATTCTATCACCAAATCCTGTTTGTTTTGATACTATAATTCATCAACACTATGCTGGCCTAAAACATCAGAAATAGCACCCTAACTAGTCCCCTCTTTCCACCATTGTTCCCCTAGATTCCAGTCTCAACAGAGCAAGTAGGAAGAGCAGTTAGAAACCAAAGTAAGATTAAGTCATTCCCCTGCTCATAATGTTCCAAAGGGCTTATATAGAGGTCAGCATCTATCAATTGCTTTCATGTTGATTCAGACTCATAGCAATCCTATATGACCGAGCAGAACTGCTCCTATAAGAGTTTTCAAAGTTGTAAGTCTTATGGAGGAAGACTGCCACATCTTTCTCCCATGAAAGGGCTGGTGGATTTCTACTACCAATCCCATGGTGAGCAGGTGAGCCTTTAACTTCTGAGGCACCAGGGTTCCTTTGTGGTGGTGGGGTTGTATGCCTTCAAGTCATTTCTGACTCATAGTGATCTAGTATAAGGTTTGTTGTTGTGTTGTTAAGTGCCTTCGAGTCGGAGCCGACCCATAGCGACCCTGTACAGGGTTTCCGAGGGTGTAAATCCTTACGGGAGTAGAAAGCCTCATCTTTCTCCCTTGGAGCAACTGGTAGATTTGAACTACTGATCTTAAGTTTGGCAACCCAGCTAGTAATCCACTACACAACCAGGGTTCCTTAGGGCTCATTTAAAGGCCTAAAAACTCCTCTATAATCTTTTCCTTTTCTCCTTCTAAGGAACTATGGTGACTGGTGGCAAAGGATTACAAATTGGGCTGCAACTGCAAGGGGCAGTAGTTTGAACACAGGAGCAGGAGAAAGATGAGGCTGTGTTTGCTTCCATAGTCTTGGGAAATCTAGACACCATTTCTACTCTGACCTTTTAGAGTCGCCACGATTTGGAATTGACTTTATGGCAGTGGGTTTGTTGGGTTTTTCCCCCTTTTTATCAGCACTGTAGGATCAGCACTGGACTCAGAACCACAAGGTCAGCTTTTCAAACCCACCAGCTGCTCCTCAGAAAACCCATACAAGGTCGCTATGAGTGGGAAGGACTCGACGACACTCAACAACAGCAGCAGCCTCATATTTGGGAGTCCTGGAAGGATAAAACATTGAACCGCAAGGTCAGTTTGAACCACAAGATCAGGCTGGCACTCAAAGGCACTGAAAAACAAACATCCTCATGTTAAAGAAGCCCTGGATGTAGTGGGTTGCAAGTCAAGCTGCTAACTAAAAGGTCAGCCGTACAAATCTACCAGTTGTGCCAAGGGAGAAAGATGAGGCTTTCTGCTCCCACAAAGATTTACAGTTTCAGAACCTCTGAATAGGGTCACTATGAGTTGGAACCAAGTTGGTGATACACACCACCACTACCATCCTCATGTTCTTCTCTTCTCTCTCTTCAGTACATCCCACCTCCAAGACCCCTGTCTAGTAGCCTTCCCCTTTAAATAGTCTCAAGTCCGTTCTCACCTCCTGTATTTTTGCTCAAATATCTCTTCTTAGGGGGGTCCTCTCTAACTACCAAATCCCACACCCCCGCCCCACCTAGGTTTTGTCTTTATCTATATCATATCACCATCTGACACATTCTAGTTTTACTTGCTTATTAATTTTCTGTCTCTTTCCAGCTAAGCCTACTGCCTAAGACATTGCTTCAGTCCCCTATCTAGAACAATGCCTGATACATGGGCATTCCATAGATACTGACTAACTGAATGAATGAATTTAAAAAAGAAAATTGCTATTTCTAATGCATAACTCTACCCTCTCCAACAAAGAGGGGAAATCAGTTAATAATGCTGCTATCTCTAGGCAGATTTAAGGATAGATTTCAATATATTTTTATGCATCATGGTTTTATCTAACATGTTTCAAAACATTCAAATGTTAAAAATAAGAAAAGTTGATGCAGAAAAATAGTGATGAGTGCTAAATTTTCTAGAAAACTAAATGCAAACAAAGGATTTTAATAGTCATTGTAAGTAATTTTGGAGAAAGACACATATGAGGAATATGAAAGAAAAAGCAACCTAACACAAAAACAAAACAAGCAGATAGAAACATATTTTCAAAAAGTGAGCCTAGATGACAGATTTTCATTTCTGTTATTAGTCTGTTACAAAAATTTTGAGATTATGGATTAAATAGAAATTTAGAATTGAACTAGCCTTTATTGAAGCCAGGAAATGCTTTATCTCATCCAAAGGATGCCAACTTGGAAAATTCTAAGACAATTGCAATGCTATTCAGCACCTTACCAACATTAGCAATGTGTGACGACATGTCTGAGATACTACTATTTTGATGAAGTGTTAATGACAAAAGCAAAGACATTGTATAAAGGGGAGGTTCAATATTAAACCTTGAACTTCCATTAAAGTATCATATTTTTTGATGGAGACATAAACCCTTATTTTGCTGTGTGAAAGTTAGCTTAGGAAATTTATTTTGTCTGTATATGGTTAGGGTTCTATGTCAACTTGACTTGGCCCAGATTTCCGGAGGCAGTTGGGATGTGCTTAATCTCATGGTGATAAAACCTAATACAGGCACAGTTAACTCTATGATGATTGGCTATGACCAACCAGACCATCAATTGAAAGGATGTTTCCTTGGAGGTGTGGCCTGTTCCCAACACAATGGACATGCAGGAGGAATTCTTGCTCTCTCTCTCCAGCTGGGAACCTGGGACTCTGCAATTCTACTTTCTTAATAATAAGTTTCTCTCTCTCTCTACATATATATATTTATGTTTCGCTGGTTTAGCTTCTATAGAAAACCTGGCCTAAGACAGTCTGTGATTTACCTATAAATGAGTCAAATCAATTTGAGATTTTACAAAAGATGATTTTATAATAGAGCTAAAGATTTTTTTTTAAACCAGAAGAAGGCTATCATCAAAAGGATGTCTTAATAATTTGAAACTGATGTGGGACATCTTAGAAGTTGAGATGGTTGAAGGTAAGTTTAATGAGTAAGAATGTGTAGGGGAGAAATATCAGGTAAACCAGGGGGGACTATCCTCAAATGTCCTGCTTCCTTATTACTACCACATATGCCACACATAATTTGTCCATCAACCCTGGGGAATCCTAAGAACTCAAAATACCCTGAGAATAGTTGAGACAATACCCTACTTCCTCGTCTTTACTTCCTTTGTGTCAACCTTGAACTACTGTCCTATCACCTTCCATGTCAGACTTAAATCATATTCTGCCAGAAGCACTCTTGGATAAACTAACACATAAATATTTTACATGTATACAAACCTCTCTACCATATGTATGCACATAAGTGTGCATACAGACCCAAATATATCACACCACATTTATATACGGTGGTGATGGTAGTGGTGTCCCAAGGCAGTAAATCTTTACAGGAGCAGAAAGCCTTATCTGTCTCCCACAGAAAGGCTGGTAGTTTCGAACTGCTGAACTTAAGGTTAGCAGACCAGCTCATAACCACTATACTACCAGAGCTCCATTTATATATGGTGCTTCTATCATATATCCTGGTGTGATGCTGTGGAATAATGCGCTGGACTGCAAAAAATTTTGAACTGCAAAATTCACCAGCTGCTCCTAAGAAACACTATACAGGACTGCTATGAGTTGGAACCCACTGCTTACTATCTGTTTATTCGTGTTTTAGGTTTTGGGTTTTTGTTTTTTTTTTCCTTTTTGGTATATAACTTGCACAAGAAAAGGGAGAATATGAGAGCATTTTTGGTTTTCTAAGACAAGGTACACGGTAGATGCTAAATTCAGCACAAGTTGAGCATTCTTCCCCATGGCATTGGTGTTGTACTATGAGAACCATACCAAGAATGAGCATCCTCAGACTTCAAAGACAGTGTATATGTTATTGTTAGCTGCTAGTCCAGTCAGCTCCCAACTCAAGGTGACTTTATCAACAATGAAAGCAATGATTTCTTGTCCTGTCCCATGTTCTATTGCAGATGGACTACTTTAACATTGAGTGTCCCAGACCACACTGCTATGCCACACTCTTAATGCATTTTCACTGGCTGATATCAGAAGATCACCATGCTTTCTTCCTAGTCCATATTAATCTGGAAGTTCCTTGAAACCTGTTCAGCATCATAGTAATGCAAAACCCTCCAGTGACCAATGGCTGTGCATGAGGTGTGTTTCTAGGAATTCAACCCAGATCTCCTGCATGGAAAGTGAAAATTTTACCACTAAACCACCAATGATTTCCAAAACTGTAGACAGGTATTTTTATATTTAACCCTCAGACCCATTTTTCATGTCTGGTTTTTATAAAATTGCCTGCATTTTCATTGCCCAAATTCAACAGTCCAGAAAAACAGTCATAATTATGTTTTCCATCCACTCTTAATCTATTCATGCATCAAAATGGGAACTCCACACCCTTGCCTAAGTCCCCAGGTCCAGGAATTTTCTTTTATACATGAACTAATCTAAGTGCAGCTGCAGTGGATTGTCTGTGTCTGATTCAGACATCTCAATGTCTTCTGTTTCTTTAAAAGACTTTATAAATTTCTTTGCATTCTATTATACACAAGGGTCAATTTTAAGAGATGTTTTCATATCTTTTTAGGGGAAAAGTAAATGAAATAACCATGAAAGTCTTCATGCCTCTACAAAGGGTTGAATTTAGAGAGTTAAGTGAGTTACTTCATTCAGAAACTGCCACTGTGATGCGGTGAAACGAAATGAAAACAATCTTTACACGGTGAGAAAATCTAGTCCCAGAGAAATCTTAAAAATGTCACCAAGCTAAGTCTGTGAGTCATGGCTCATAATTAGTGAAGTATTCCTCCTCAGTTTTCAGTAACTATGAAGGTAGTTTTTATAAAAGTAGTTTTTACCCGACCCAGAGTGATAGCTAGAAAAGATAAACTCCTACACAAAGTAGTGATGGGAGTAGCGGGGGAGAAGGTTACGATCTGTGTGGGAAGCTGGAGGTTGTCAGGGATGCTTCATAGCCCAGGCTTGAGCTCCTACTCACCCATCAGAGCAATTAGCTATTTTCTTAGTTGATCAGTTTTCTTCCTACATTCCTTCCTTTCTTTCTTTCTCTTTCACTCTCTTCCCCCCTCCTTTTTGAAATTCAACACATCAGTTAAAAAACCAGCTTACTGTTCTCATTAAGATAAACACTTGAGTTTGTATCAAATTTCATCAGCAAGTGGAACGAATTTCTAAGATCTTATTCACATATATTTTACCATTCAACTCCTGTTCCTGTAAACATCTTATTAAGTTGTTATATTTAAAAATAAAGATGCTATGTTGTTCAATATATTTAATTCATCATTTCATTTGAAATTCTCTAAGGTCTTGGGTCAAACTGTTCATAGTGTTCTCCAAGGAAATAACTTCAATCTTTCCATCAGTCAGTTAAAGATTGTGCCTCAAAATTGCCTTAGTGAAGAATGTATCTCCCCAAAAGACCACAGTGGCTGTTGTTGTTAAGTTCCGTCAAGTTGTTTCCAGAATCATAGTGATCCTGTATAGGATTTCCAAGGAGGAGCTGGTAGGTTTGAACTGTGATTCACAGTCAAAGGCTGATCCTACAACACCACACCAAGAGTCCACAGGACCACCTACCAAAAAGTAATTGCTATTCTGAATTTTTTCTTCTTTTAAAACTAAGTGGCTTGAATTTCAGATCATCATAAAAATTTTAATTAGCATTTATTCTAAGACCAAAGTAATCTTTCACTTTCAACATATCAAGTATGTTTTTGTGTATATATATATATGTGTGTGTGTGTGTGTGTGTCTGTGTGTGTGTAAGTGTTCATGTCTTTATATACACGTTGTATATGTATGTATACATGATATACATATACAAAACGCTAATTAGAAACATTGAAATGAAAACTAAGAATTCAGAACACATTACATTTCCATAACCCTTTACAGTTATTGTTATAATTCACCACCATAAAATCATGGTAGGCACTGCTACTCTGACAAATAGAGAGTGCCTAGGCAAACTCAGCTTCTCTAAAGAGGCTTGGAGTGTGAGAAACACCATGTCTCTCCGTATTGTAGGACGTCTTTTTCTTCTCATTAATTCAGGGGTAAACTGGGTGTAATTTATGTCACCAGTCTCAACAGCCTGTCACCACAACCTGAGGAGGTACTTCCTTTCTATCCACAGTTTTGGCAGAGACCTCTCTGCCCTAATTTCTGGAAATAAGCTTTTCTCAAAGCCTCATCTGTGTTCTCTCTGAGTGTTCAAAAGGAACAGCACAAACCATGTGGGAGCCATGTCTGACTTCTCCTGGCTTCACAAGGGGGTAAGAGAATCAAACTCAAAATCAGCCCAAGGCTGATTCCTATGAAGTAGAGGTCAGACATGCCTTCTATCCTACAGGCTTCTTTACCCTATTCTGCCACCAACCATCCCTCCCACAGCACTCTGCTTCACATCTGGATTCAATAATTCATTGCAATTGCCACACAGAATTCATATATAACAATACTCACAATTATGGGGTTTATTAGGAAAGTGAACAGGATAGGGTAAAATTCAAGATCAAAACCAACTCAATACACAGCAGTTCTCTAGTCAGGAGCACTTCTTGTGTGTCATGCTACTCTTGTCTTTGACTTCTCAGCCACGTGGCCCCTTGGCCTCTGTGCTACTCAGGCAAAACTTACAAAGCTCTTGTAGCTAGTTTGTGAATGCCCAAAGGTCACATTTTTCAAAATTGTTTCCTGTCCATAGGCACTCAGATGTACACAGTCTGTGGGCCTAGGCCTGAAGCTGTTCTGTTTCTCTGTACCAGCACCTCTGCTACTGTCTCTGCTGTTATCACTTTCCTAGGTAGGCATTTCACAATCCATGCATGCTTTTTCTTCTTGATGGTTCCTAAATTGTCTGTTTCTGTTTTGAGCATAGCTGGAAGGCAAAACTAACCAATCCCAGACTTAGAGTACTGTACATCTTCTTTACATGATCCCACTCAATCAGATGGTGGGAATTAAGAAGACTTTGGATAGGTAAGCAATATTAAGTAAATTGAAGGTTCCACAGGAACCAATGCACATAGTCTTCAGGACAAAAACCTTGGGTTCTCGTGTTCCAGAAGATTGGTCCTGCAGTCACTCAGCTGTCATTGCTGAGATGATACTCACAAGCTTGTGGTCTGCTGGGAACAGAAGTTATCCAACATATGATTCTATCAGTGCTGCCCTAATGGCTCTGGAGAGAGTTAATACTCTCCTTATGTCCCATCATGGTGCTATGGATTAATGTGTGGACTGCAAAATTGGTGTGAACTTCAAGGTTGGTGGTTCAAGCTCACCTTCTGCTTCTCAGAAACCCTATACAGGGTCGCTATGGGTCGAAACTGACTCACAGCACTTGAAAACAACAACAATATCCCATAGTACAACTAAGAACAGACTGTGCTTTTTTAACAAGAATTTACTAAATAGTTGGATATACCAAATAGCTTATACTACAATTGATGTTGATAAGTACTCTCAAGTCAGTTCTGACTCGTAGAGACACTATTACAAGAGGTTCTAAAAATTGTCTTTTATCGTTCTAGGTAGCCTCAGACAGAGGCAGCTCAATCTTCACTTTTCACTGTCCCTAATTGAAAGCCTAGCTTCTCTTCTGCCCAAGCTGATTGATAGAATCAATATTATTGATATAATCAATACTATGTTCTAGCTACTTTACATATGCCCATTTCAATCTTCACAGTGATCCTTTGATGATGCTGATAATGATAAAAATTATTTTACAGATGAGGGAAATAAGGTTTGAAAACATCACAAGTTCTGTTGGCCAATTTCATAGAGTCAGGGTTTGAAAAACAAGTGTTTAATTCCTTTACATGCAGTTTCAGGAATCTAGCTACAACTAAAATTCTGGCAGTGTGAAGAACAGTAACCTCAGACACATGATTTAATGAAATTCTGACAGATTCTTGGGTGGCACTTGGCAATGGGAAAAGAGCCAGACAAGTTGAGAGAAGCAACTTATATTCATTCATTCACATCAGCTGTAAGGAAGAGCTGACTGAAGTAAACCCTCACAGGAAGTTTGAAATGTATATTATCTATTTTGGTCTTCCTATCTTTGGTCTTCTTTAAAGTGTTCAAGAGCAAAGATGGCAGTTTTAGGATGAAGGTGCACTCAATCCAAGATGATATTTTTCAATCACCTCATATGCATGTGAAAAGAACGTTGGAAAATGAATAAGGAAGACTATAGAAGAATTGAGGCATTTGAATTATGGTGCTGGAAAAAATATTAAAAGACCATTAAATATGGACTATCAGAAGAACAAATAAGGTTGTGTTGGAAGTAGAGCAAGAGTGCTCCTTCGAAGCAAGGATGGTGAGACTTTGTCTCTCATACTTTGAACATAGAGATACCAGTCCCTGGAGAAGGGAATCATGCTTGGAAAACTGGAGGGAAAGTAAAAACAGGAAAACCCTCAATGTGATGGACTGCCTTTATCAGAGTTAAGCTTGTGTGCTCTGACCAGAATGGAAGAGACATTCCTACAGTGAAGCTACTTCCATAGTTGTTTCACTTTGTTTCAGGAATTCCAGCAGATCCTTGTACTATATTTTCAATAACATGTGCACCAAAGAGAAGAAAGAGAGAAAGGAGAGGGAAAGAAGGAAAGGTAGAGAGAATGCATCTATTATGCTGAAGGAAAAAGTTACCTCCTATTCTAAAAATTCTAGTATTATAGGTAAGCATCAGTTAAGCTATTATTCCTATGCTGGTTTATGCTATGAAGGGGTTTTGTATGTGCTAGAAGTCATAATGTTGTTGTGCAGAAGCATGGAAAGTGATCTGTAAGGGATACAGGGCCAAAAACCAGAACCAACGGATACAAGGTCAAGGATAAGAATTGTCTGTGAGCATGGCAACAGACATTAACAGGGAACTGTCAGAGGCTGAAGCAAGATTCAGAATATGGAATGGAACAAAGGATATCATTGCTGACATCAGATGGATTTTGGCTGAAAGCAGAGAATATCAGAAAGATGTTTACCTGTGATTTATTGACATGCAAAGGTTTTCAATTGTGCGAATCAGGACATGCTATCAACAACATTCTGGAGAATGAGTATTCCAGAACACTTGATTGTGCACATGAGGAACATGTGCTTATACCAAGAGACAGTCAGTCTAACAGAACAAGGGGACACTGAATGGTTTAAAATCAGGAACGGTGTACAATAGTGTTGTATTCTTTCACCATATTTATTCAATCTGTAGACTCAGAAAATAATCTAAGAAGAAAAACGTGGTATCAGGACTGGAGGAAGACTGGTTAACAATTTGTGATATGCAATTGATGCAACCTTGTTTACTGAAAGTGAAGAGGACTTAAAATACTCACTGATGAAGATAATAACCAATTTTGAGGATGATGCAGGACCATACTGTATTTCATTTTGTTGTACATAGGTTGCTATGGATCTGAAATAACTTGTTCATACATAACAACAACAACAGCAGCAGTAACAGAATGTTCATCAACAGAGAGTACAGAGAGACCAGAGGACAAGAAGAAACATCAATCTACCCATGATCAGCAGTTAGGAGCCAAGCAATAAGGTCAAGGCAAGGTATTCATCAGTGAGACAAATGGAAATCCAGTTCTATTTCTCAAAAATGTGGAGATCAATGTGTTGCTTTACTTGCTTTACATAATTAAAACTCACTGTAAACAGTATAATTATGTGCATTGTCACATATATTCTACAATTATCCTGCAAATACATACATTCTTTTGGACCAACTTAGGTTTTCTGTCTACATGGAACCACCACAGCATTGAGTCAAGAAGAATTTTTGGTTCAGGACAAGAACTTTGACCTCCAACATGATGCTCTATTGACTGTAAGGAAATGACTCCAAAGGAAGGCGCTGGGATTGGATGATTCCGCTCAAGTTCTTTCACTATTTTCTACTGTCTGTTTCTGACATCCAACAAAGCTAAACCTTACCTTACTCCTTTGGTGTTTTTCTAGCACTTGAGAGTACTGGAATATTAGAAATATATTTACTTGTTCTTTCTTGTTCTTTATTGACTATGCAAAAGCATTTAACTGTGTATATCTAACAAACTATGAGTAATATTCTGAAGAATGGGAAATTCCAGAACATTTCATTATACTCATGATGAATATGTACAAAAACCAAGAGACATGTACAAATACCAACATTCATGGCAGCAGCATTTAAGAAATCAAACCACATGTTACATTAAGCAAATTTGCTGCATAAGATCTCTTTAAAGTATTTAAGAAGAAAGATATTACTTGGTGATTAAGGTGAGCCTGACCCAAACCATGGTATGTTCCATTGCCTCATATGCATGTGAAAGTTGGACAATGAAAAGGAAGACTGTAGAAGAACTGAGGCATAAGAATTATAGTGTTAGTGAAGAATACTGAAAGTACAATGGACTGCCAGAAGAACAAACAAATTTGTCTTGGAAGTACAGCCAAAGTGCTCCTTAAAAGAGAGAATGGTGAGACTTTGTCTCTCATACTTTGGAAATGTGGTCTGGAGGGATCAGTCCTTGGAAAACAGCATCATGCTTAATAAAGGAGCGAGTCAGCAAAAAATAGGAAGACCCAATGAGATGGAGCGACCTAGTAGCAACAACAACATCAACTCAAACATATCAACAATTGTAAAGATGATTCAAGATAGAGCAGTGTTCCATTCTATTGTTCAGAGGGTTGCTCTGAGTTAGAATAAAACAAAGGGATACTGAAAGGTTTAAAATAAAGAAGGGTGTGCAGCATGGTTGTGTCCTTTTACCATATTTATTCAATCTGGGTGGAGCAAATAATCAGAAAAGTTTAATAATATAGAAGAACATAACATCAGGACTGGAGGAAGATTTATTAACAACCTGCAACATATAGATAACACATATTTTTACTGAAAGTGAAGAGGACTTGGAGTACTTACTGATGAAGATCACAGACTATAGCCTTCAGTATGGATTGCATGTCAATGTTAAATAAACAAAAAAACCTCACAACTGGAACAATAAATAACATCATGATAAATGGATAACAATTGAAGTTATCAAATATTTCTCTTTACTTGGATCCACAATCAATGCTTATGAAAGAAGCAGTCAA